GCAATGAGTTCCATCTCGTTTGCGTGTGGGTGTCTGGTAGATTTGAAGTTTGCCATTTTATTTTCGTTTTAACTGAAAATGTTTTAACTATCATTATAAGTCACCTTACACCACAAGGAAAGGCGGGATATAAAGGTTTTAACAAAATAATTTTTTTTAACTTCCATTTTGAAACAAGGTTTACTCTGTTGTTCAAATTTATATTACTGGTTCAGGCAGATGTTGGAGAGGAGAGGAAGTTCAGTGGGGATGGGATCCCCTAAAGCAGGGGTGTCAAACATGCGGCCTGGGGCACGGATCAGGCCCCCAGAGGGCTTCTATCAGGCCCGCAGTGGAACTGGCTGTCTTCTGCTTCTTCCCGTTCTGCTGCTCCTGCATCATCATAGGTTTGCAGCTTACAGATACACACCTGAACAGCATACTCAAGATTGCAACAGCACAGACATTTTGATGCAATAATTCAGAGCAAGAGGTGTCAGTTATCAGACACTATTAAATAAACAAAATATTGCAAGAGTGCTAATGTTTTAAGCATGATTTTATTTTAAGTAAAAAACCCAACCCTTTGTGTCCTTTATAAAGTTTATATCTCCGCTACCTGGCATTACATTTTATGACACTCATGGCCTGGCCCAACAAGGTCTCGTTTATGTCAGATCCAGCCCTCACAACAAATGAGTTTGATACCCCTGCCCTAAAGACTGCCCTCCAAAGCTGGCATTTCCTCCAGGGAAACTGATCTCTGTAGTCTAAAGATCAGTGGTAATCCTGGGAGAACTCCAGGCCTCATCTGGGGGATGGCAACACTATTACAGGGCACTTTTACAGAGTAATTTAAAAAGACAAGTCCTTGTTCAGACGCACTTTGAAAGGTGGTGAAAGAAAACAGAAAGACTAGGCTAGCCAGGGACGAAGGTCGGGACATGGATTACATATACCTACGCTTCATTTCATTCAGGGATGAGGCCTAGCCAAAGGCTTCATAGAAAAAGTGGGTGCTGAGGAAGGATTTCAAGGAAGAGAAAGAGGGACAGAGAGAGAGAACAATGTAGATGTTCTGTAACAGAGTTCCAGGAGAACATGGTAAGTACCTCTCTTACCTCTACAACAAATGTGTCAATAATATGATCCTGAGGCAGGAACCAGTGGGCCACCTCTTCTTCATCCATAACAGGAGCAAGATTAAATTGCTTCAAGTAATTGTTAATTAACTCTTGTACTGCTTTAATGTCTTTCCGTTCCATAGGTCTCAGACCTGATGTTTTTGTAGCCTTGTAAAAGGAGACCAGGAATTAAAGCAAGAATTAAACCACCACATAGATTTCAAAATATGCACAAACAACATCCCAGTTAATTCCAACAATAGTTCCTACTCTAGAACGATACTTTGCATATACCCCTCCCCCTGCAACTAAACATGCAAAGGACACAATCAGCTGAGAACTTCTACCCACCAAATTTCAAGATTAGCAGCAAAGGTTCTACTCTGCATACCCCCCACCTTCTGAAGTGGGTGGCAGTCAGATACAGGTTCTTTTTTGTGGTGGTACCTTGTAACAACTCCCCCTTTTTTTGGTTGCTTCTTTGATTTTATACTGTTTTTATTGTTCAGTTTCATATATCTTTATATTTTTAGTTACGTCCTGATTCAAGCACTTCCTGGAAAATGGGGCAAACAAATACCTTTTAAAAATAGATCTGCATGGTTATATGTGCAGCTAAGGAATTCTTCACTGAGTCTGTGAATCATAAAGCTCTATCAGTTCAAGACAACAAAGAATGACCTCAAAGCTCTCTCACATTCAATATTCCTAAGGCCAGTACAGGCATTACAGAAATAACATCTTCCCCTTGAGACAGTATATCCATCATTTCTTCACTGTAACATTTGAAGAGGGGAAAGACAAGTTTTGCCTTAAGAACATTACAGAAAAGATCACTACACTATGAAGAGAAACCCATCTTCCCTCTAATGTCAATTGAAGCCTTAAGAACCTCATGGATGAGGTATGAAATACTATATGAAGAGGTGGTTCAAGCAGGTCTCTGGAGAGGTGGCATATAAATCCCCTAAATAAAAAAAAAATGCTGTGGAAAACAAAGGACCCTTTTTTTCTGTACAAGGAAGTGGCCCACATATTTAGGGCCATTTCCCTTGCTTGCCTGCTGCCTGGCCATCAGGTAGAGATCCAGCTGCTTGCTTGCCGGTACAATTCAATAAATAAATAAATAGCTTTCTGGCATGGCTTTTTGCGGGACATGATGCTTAATTAAGGGGGAGTGGCCCCAAAATGCACAACCATAGCTATGGGCCAGCCCCACACCCTACATTGTTCAATGGGAATATATTTTTTAAAAAGTTCAATAACACATCAGCATTAGAATATTTAAAATACCCAGTGATTTCAGCAGTATTGCGAAGGTTTGTATATGCATCTCTATTGCAAATTAAGGGTTTCATGGCAGAAAAAAATTGTTCAAGAAAAAGTTATTTCCCTAGATAAATTAGTGCACTTTAAAATATTGTTCTTGCTGCCTCAAAATAACTTTTCTATACTTGCCATCCTTTAATATCACACATAAAGCTGCCTTCTTCTGAGTCAGTCCATTGGCCTATTGACATCAGAATAGTTTACTCTGCCTGGCAGCAACTTTTCGGAGTCTCAGCTAAAAGTCTCCCACTTCATGTACTTTCTAATCTTTTCCAACTGGTGGCAGGGGCTGAAGCCAGGACCTTTCGTATGCAAAGCAGATGATCTACCACTGAGTCACAACCCCTCCTTATAAAAGCATCTTCCCAAACTGGAGTTATATCTCTTGAATAATGCTGCCATCCCAAAGTGAAACGCTTGCCTTGTCAGAGATTGACAGAAGGCTATTATGGGCCCCACGGTGACCACAATGGTCCTCTGAGCAGATACATTGCTTACATCAGGAAGTCTGTAGAGCTTCATCGTTCGCTGTAAAGTCATATTTCTACTCAAATGAGAAAATTTCACCTCTACCAACTTTCTGGGATTCAGTGAGCGATGCCAGTACCTGCAGACACAATGTAAAAATATTAAATATGTCTCTGAATAGCAATTCCTCCACTTGTTCTTAAATTAAAATTAAGTCAGTACATTCAAGACAAAATATTGCTCTGCTACCTGCAAGGGACACAGGTAACGTGAGCAGATTTTTTAATATGCAGAAGATAAATCTCGGGTTGCTCTTTTTGCAGTGTATTTCTACATAAAGCCTGCAGTAAGCACCAATAGCTACTAAGATAAACTTCGATCAAAGAGCACCACTGAAAAAAGTGGAAGTTAAACAGAGATGGATGATGCTGGCATCTCTTCCCATGCATTTTAGCCATGCTACCCATTCAAGGTAAAGTGGGCTGCAGCCAGAGATGGGGCTTTCTCTGCAATGGTGCCTCAATTTTGGAATTCCCTCCGTTTTGGTTCACCTAGTGCCAAGCTTTAGGTGCCTGGAAATAGTAATAGTAGTAGTAGTAAAGGACAGCAGCTCTTTTAGTCATATGCTCTCAACCTAACCTACCTCACAGGGTTGTTGTGAGGATAAAATGGAAGAGATGAAAATTATGTAAGCCACTTTGAGTCCCCACTGGAGAGAAAGGGCGAGTATGAAATAAATAAATTTTATGAAGTGTGCAGTAACACACACACTGCAATCTCTCTCCACATCTACAGTGAAACAGACTGTTGGTTTTACGTTTTATTTCCCCCCAACATTTCCTTTCCCTCAAAAGACTTCTGATACCCTGCCACTACAAGTACCTTCAGTTTCACAAGTTGTTGCAAAGTTTTATTATGTCACAGACAAACTAAAAAATGTCTCGCTGACAAAAACAAGATTTTGGAGGTTGGTACACGTGAACCATTATGTTCATTAACACGGCAGCCAGCAACAGTGTCCCCTATCCATCTGAAATACTAACAAGTATAATTTGCTATGACATGTGCAGACTACAGAGCGGATGCGGACATCATGGTACTGAACTACATCTTTCACAGGGCTGACTTCAGAAGCACAATTCTGATTCAAGGCCAAGGCAGCATGGAATAGGAACCCAGCTGCACCTAAAATACACTTCTGTAAACTTATTTCAGCGGTAAAAAGTAGTAAGCAGAAAACCTGAAGCACAGTTGACAGAACAGTGCATTCTGCTTAAATCAATGTACATGATTACTTCAGATTAAGACTGGCCATCTCCTACAAGGGCAGACAAGGTCTAACTTTCAGGGCGCACTAGGCTGCCCCCATTGGCACATCCCCCTCATTGCCATTATGCCAATCTCTTGTGAGCTGAGAGAAAATAAAGGGCAGAGGGAGAGAACACGCCAGGGGTTTCTCCATCTTGTTGAGGACACAGGCACCTCTAGGAGTCTGAGAAAGCCAAGTGGGTGCCAACTGCCACCACAAACTTGCTGTTGTGGGGGAGGGTGGCAATTACAAGATGCTGGGAAGTTTTAATCATTCTCCTGAGATGGGATCAGCTCTTTGCTTTCGAAGTGTTTCAGGTTAAGCACCAGGAAACAGGGCCAGGCACGACAGGGGCACCATGTTACTGGAATAAGCTATACAGTAAGTCCCCAACTTGCAAACATCTGACCTACAAGTGATCCCAACTTACAAAGGCGGCAGAGACCAGGAACTGACTCACATGCTTCAGAACTGGCAAAGAGGGTATGGGGGAAGGGATGATGAATGACTGAGGGGCAACAGTGGGCACTCTGGAGTGTTGAGAATGAAGGGAGGAGAAGGTCAGGAAGGATGGACGGAGACTAAGCAAGTAGGAGGGGAGAGCCTTTGATTTGTGCTGAACTCGCTATCTTTCCCCATTTAAGTGCTGAGGGGGTTTTCTTAGCTGTTCCTGAATAAAAAAACTTGAAGCATTTTTGCTTCAGACATGTTAAAACCCCTCACTCACCAGCTCCCACTTTTATTTTTGCCTTCTTACTTCCAGTGTGATCCCAGCCAATCAGAGATCAGTGTCATTGTAATGACAGCCAAACCAGGTTAGCCATGGGGCACTAGGATATGTGTGGATGTCCAAGTCAGTCCAGAGTCAGGGCAATGTCACTCTGAACAGGAGTCAGACAAGAAAATATTTTTAATATTTTATTTACAATATTTATATCCTGCTTTTCTGCCCAGTTAGAGCCATGGAGGCAGCTAATGCTATAACAAAAAAACCCCAAATATATGATGCCTAATGGATTAAAAAGGGACCCTGAAAGCAACTCAAAAGCACGTCTTTTGAGTGTTTTCAGGATTCTTGTGGAAGATACAAAGTGGGTACTCCAGCATCTTCTCAGTGGCAAGATGTGAGCTTCTTTCACACCTAGCAGTCACACATTTCAAATGCAGAGATACACCTTCATGTAAAACTTAACTTCTAATGCCTCATCTTCCCCTCTTCCTCATAATATTTGAAACTTCTCTCAAAATTCAAACTAGAATGCGTGTCATTTAGGCTACATGTAAACAAACAATGACTGTTCCATGCGCCTCGGCATTTAGTCATGCTGACCACATGACTATGGAAATGTCTTTGGACAGCGCTGGCTCTTCAGCTTGGAAACAGAGATGAGCACCGCCCCCTAGAGTCGGATTCGACTGGCTTTCGAACAAGGGAAACCTTTACCTTAAACAAGCAATGACACAGGAAAGCCTTTGGCGAGAGAGATGTAATGTCAAAAGAACACACACATTTACTTACCTGCAAGTTGCTACGGGTTTGGGGAGTACCACTCCTGCAGTATAAACTGCCTGAAAAATCCCTTCCAAGTTCACTCTCCTGGTTATCTCCCGAATCAAGACTGGTGCTACTCGCTTAGATCGCAGTTTTTTATGGACACATAGAAAATTAATTTCTACCATTTTCTTCTCACTGGGAGTAATAAAGTCATAAATCACCTCTTAAATAAACACAAATTAATATTCTTCAAAATCTGCTGTCTATAATGCAGAACTATTCTAATGTTACTTGATGAATGACTGACCATTTTTAAAAAAACCATCTTTGGCTAACCATCTTTTTAATAAGAATTCTAATAAACAAAAGAAAGGGAGGAGAGAATGTATATACACTGCATTTTATCTTCTCACGCTTTCAATGCAACATTCAAATTCAAGTTGCAGGAAGGAGAAGTGCAAGCTATTTACTTCACCAAAACGTCTGCATATACTCCCCCAAGACCTTTTCCATGCATTTCAGAAAGCACGATTCACTTACACTTCCACCTACTTTTCTGTTAATGCAAGGTTGTAAAAAATGCTCAATCCCAAACTTGTTGCTTTAGTAAGAAATAGCCACTTTCCCCATAACAGAGAAATTATTCTGATGTTGCTGCCATTTCTCACTCCAGAAGGAATGTTTTTACTGTGTTACAAACCACGACATACTATTAAGCATACATGACATTTTTGTAATCCTGCATGCCTGGAAGTGTATAAACAATATTTTAAAATTCTATCTGGAACCCTCTTCTTTGGAGATCTTTGGCTCAGGGAAGTGTATCTGGATTATTTCTTTACAAGGTTTGCTTCTGATTTTGCACAACTAGACTTTTTGGATTGTAAATGCTGTGGGGCTGCCCAAATGTACTGTTTCTTCAGATTTATTTATTTTTTTCATTTTAAATTTCAGATCAGCTTTTTAAAATTATATATATTTGTGGCTAGTGGATTGCTTAGTGTGCTTTTTTTTAACATTTACACGGGGATTTGAAAAGCTGCCATGGGATCTCCTGTGTAGATGGAACACTATGGATACAAAAATTGTACAAATAAAACATACTACCTATGGAGACCTTTGGCTATAAGCCCTTATTTGAGTCAAGTTCAACAAATAAAGGTTACATAGTAAAAGAGCTAGCTTATACTCTTCATGAGGGTCTTCAGGACAAAAAGCAATGCAAAAGTACAAATCTAAAAAAAAATCTAAAAATTGTGCTGCAGAGAATACAAATAACACATTATTTGGAAAGCACTTCCACGTTTTATCCTGATTTTCTGTCCCAGAAATTATGTCCTGGATTAATCATTAGACTACTTTGCTCCTAGAGGCAAGCTTGATAATAACTATAAGCAGTACAGTGAAATGGGAACATCAAGATACGGAATTTTGGTATACCTGAGGAACACTCTCTCT